GCTCTCTCGACATCATCACGTTCAAATTGTGATTATCGTTGTCGAAATTTATACGTGTTAAATTTATGAACTAAAAGTAAGATTTTTATTATTTTATTCATCAATTATTACTCAATACTATCATTGAAGTTATTCTACGAACAAAGAAAAATTATCACGTAAGATTTCAAAATATTAGTAGTTATTTTATGAATCACACCCCTAATGATAGTAACTCTCACTTTTATCAAATACCCATAATATTATTTTATATTAATCTTTTATAATTTAGTTAAGTAAACAAGTGCTTAACTCTTTCTTTTTTTTTATTTTATAAAGTTTTGAGTTACGATAGAGTTGGTAAATAATTTCTTTTTTCATCCTTTCAAGGATAAAAAACGTAAACTTTAATTTTCATAATGGGAACTCTTGTTTTTGGTTTGAATATAAGTAAAAAAATTGTTTGAATTTTTTTTTTATTATATCGTTAAACTAAAAATAGGGTTTGGTTAGGTTGGATTCCCATTAAAGAAAATTCAAATTTAGTTTTTTTTAACTCTGAAAGGATGAAAAAAAATTATTTAACTACATACTATGGTTGATTTTTTTATATCCAACAATTGTTTCCTTTACAAGTAATACATTTTTGCAAACCTATCGAAATTCTCTAGGAGATTAACTGCATCATAATGTTTTCAATAATTCAGTATAATTTAGTATCATTGTCGAACATTAACACATTGACAGATGATTTAAAAATAGACGGTAGATTATTGATGTAAAGATTAAATCACAAAGTATCCAAGTTCGAGACAAAAGGTACACTAAAGCTTACAAAAATAATTTTTTTCACAACTGAATGTGACAATTTAACTGACTGACTTCTACATAGGAATTTAATCAATTAAGAAAATTACCGTGAAGATTAAATGTTTGTAACATGATTATAAGCAAGTCATGGTTCACTCAGTAAAAGCTTCACTGAAATCTGTATGAATAGTATCAATTTGAAAGCCATTTTCAATAGAGGAAATGAAATCAGTATGATTGAGTAAATTTGTGGAATATGATTTAATAGGCCGATACTCATGTTGGTTAGAACAAATATAATTAGAGAGTAGTAATTCTTTTTATTAATAATTTACTCAAATAGTTTTGGGATAATAGATGATTTAGAAATTAGTCTATTGTTAATAAAATTACATTGGACATCATATTTATAAATAGATACACCATCAAAATCTACATTACTATAAACGTTAACTGAATGCAAAGCATCGAACATTTCATCCTCACTAACACACCATAAAGATAAATTTAAGTTAGAATAATTTGTGATTACCATGACATAATTCATATTCGCATTAATATATGAGATAGAAAGTGTGTATACACTGGAAAAATTGAGTAGTTTGACGAAATTACTAGCAGTAATGTTGTTATATGACATATTTTCAGGAATAGGAGATTAATTGATTTAAGATGTTTAGTATAACACTAAAATGGCTAAAAATTATTTAAAATTGTATTTTCAAATTTAAGAATATTAGTACTAGAATATTGTATAAAAGTTATAGTATAACGATGTCTTTTTTTATTCTTTACATAAATTTGAAAACTATGTAATCAAACTGTTAAGTAGTGATTAAATTTTTTTTTTAATTTTTTACTACTTTTTATAATTCTGGATTACGGTAGAAATCGAGGTAGTAATCAGCTACTCTGAATTTTGGGACAGACAAATCGATAAAATGATATATAATTGTATAGAATTTGTTAATGGGTTCAATCTACACATAAATCATAACATAATTAATCAAATTCAAAGGTCGATAAACATTTAGATAAGCTTGAAAAAATGCTTTTAAGAAAATTATAAAAAGTTAATTCATTAAGTCCTTCATCAGTGAATGAGTGATCAAGATTACAAGTCTGGTGGACAATTGTGATTATTAGTTAATAATCAGAAACAAAGTGCATCTTATAAAGAAAGTTGTATTTTGGTTATCACTAAATATAAGATTACGAGTTCTATTATTTTTATTGTTTATGTAGTTTAACTGCTTTAGTTATTTGAAATAATTGTCTTAACCCAATCCAATTTTACCAACAAATCACTATAACTTAATTAGATTTAAAAATAATTGTTATAAATACTTGTTCTATTCCAAAAATAATAGGTACCTCACCGATTCATTCAAATTTATACAAATCGAAATACACTAATTAAACCGCGTTCATTCTTGATTTCTAAATAATTTAATCTGTCCATTCAAAAATATGAAAATTATTTAAATCTAACTCAGAGTCATTTACTTTACTATTAAGCATAAATTGGCAATTTTTTTTTTATTTCATTCAAAATATGGGCAATTGTTAAACAATATGAATAAAGGAGCAATGTTCATGAAATTATGATTGAAGTTTATGAACTTAAAAAAAATAGCAAACTTAGTTACATTGTAAATATCACTACGTTGGTAGGACGATTTTTTGGGAAGGAGGAAGTTGGAACTTAGCTCCTCATAACAGTTAGTTTTTGTTGAAGGTATCGTTAAATTTTAAATACTGTTGAACATATATTTACTCGTAGATTAATAAAATATCTAAATAATTGTTATATAGATAACAAAATCTATCTAGATGACAATTATGTAACCATTTATAAAGTCATCCATCTATGATAAAAAAAAATATGATTATCCTAATATTCTAGTTTACATATAACTAGAAAACTTATCAAATAAAATTTGATATTTATTTGAATAACTTTATTATTTGAGGGTTAGTTTAATTTATGATAAAAATTATATTTTCAAGATTTTTACTTAAACTCTTATAAATAGTAAACAAAGGTAAAATTTGTTTAAAATGATAAAATATATCTGTTAAATTGCAATTTTCTTTAGAATGAAATAAATTACAATTATATTGACTCGTTTTTATCAACACTATAAATAGGTTCAAAATTTGTAAACGGTATCATGAGTAAGGAATAGTATCAACATAGACAATAAGTTTATATTATAGTGTTATATTAATACAATTGTATCATAATTTTACAAATGCGTTTTTTATTTAAAAAATTAATTTACAATAAAAACGCCGTGACGATATTAGAGAAGACTATCTTTTAAAAGAAGTTTCAAAGTATAATATCTAAATACAAATATTCAAGTTCTAATCCTGAACTTATTTAACAAACATAATATCTACTAATAAACATTAGTAGCGGTAGTAATTTAATCAGTCAAAACAAGGCGTAACTTATCAATGATTAATTTCAATAGATCAAATCTATAAGAACGTGATTTTATACAGCACAACAGTCTAAGTAATTGTTGTAATTTATTGCTAAAATATTTTGAAAATGTTAGTCGAGTTACAATTTATATAGTATGAATATGTGTTAATTTAAGTTTTATAGAATAGGGAATACTTATCATAATTGCGAAATGGTCTCAAGAGCGTTGTATTGTTCACTAACAAACTAGAAAATTTAAATTAAAAAATACAACTTATACCCTTGACAATTAACAACCATAAAAATCTAACTATAAATAAGTTTTAAATGGAATTATAATAAAATGATTACATTTAGTAGATTAATATAAACTATGTTTTGGTTTAATTTTTTTTGTCCATAAAGAATTCTCAAAAATACTTAAAACACAAGTTTTCTTATCGTCCCAGAATGGGGTCCTAGAAAAATTCAAAGATTTTAATTTCAGAATAAAATTGTGTTTTTCTTTCTATAACAGCCATCTCGAGATTGGTGGCAGCCCATGAGCTTATATTATTAGTTTATAAAGTAAACCAATTCGGGAAAACAAACTTACGTAGTATGCGTAGCCTTGGGCAGAAATGTCTCTAAATAAGTAAAGGGAAGCGAACCCTTGGCTTGATTTCAGTGGCGCTGAATGATGTACAATGAAAACACTGTTGGTAGACCCCTATTGATATGCATGAGATCATATAAGTTGTTATTCTATGTAATTTCCTTTCATAAACATATAACCGCACCACGATAATAGTTTTTAAGCTTGGGTTATCATCATGTAAGGGACCATTACTGTATTCTTTGAATTAATTTTTGTTGTCCTTCGTCTTCGAATGATATACGAAGGACGAATCATTGTTATTTTTCTTACTCCCATTTTTTTACCTGTAATAACATAATACCCTTGAAGACTAATAAAAAAATAAATAATATTTTTAATAGACTGTATGGAAATTATTGTAATCGTAATACATACATAGTTATTATAATTACTGTTTATTTTAATAAATACGGTATACTATAAATAATTATGGTAGATTTACCCTGAATAGTTTTGGTATAAAAAAAGTTTAAAGACAAATAAAATTCAACGTTTGTAATTTTATTTAAAATTAAAGGAAACCATGTTGTCTTGTTTTTTGTGTGACGTCCAGGGCATGTTCTCGTGGCAACTGTCGCGAGACTATGTTTTTGAGTAGTTAGCTATACAAATTAATAAAATCGGCAATTTTATCGAAATAATTAAGATGATTAGTTATAATAACCAATGATATTGCTAAAATTGACTATAAATATTTAAACATTTATATTGTGTTGTAACGTCTGAAAAATATCGACAATTGTTGACAAACTCTTAACTGGTAGGTTTTTCTGCATTAAATATTGTATTTGAAATAAACAATGTTGACATAAGTGTGAACTACACATCTATGAATTATTTCCATAGATCAAAGTTAAAATTGTCATGAAATTAAGCAAATAACAGATGTATCATCGAAACAATTTTGATGGGTTGAAATTCTCAAAAATTAAACGAAAGATATAAATCTATCGAGAGAAATAAATCTAACATTATATCGAAAATTGAGCAATAAAATTGTCAGCGAAGGGACAGTAGGAGGGGAGGTGCATTATTTACAGGACCGCAGTGGGCGGACGGTCAGTACGTTTGCCGGCAAAAATTCTAGTGATGCGCCGATGCTCCCACCCTCATAATGTAAACGCGCGAGTCTCTAACTGAGGGGCACGTACCGACCGCCAGTTCGCGTCTGTTTTGCTGAAGGTGCGGACTTGCTGCACTACTATGTACGCCGGCACGAGGCATGTGCTCAGCGTGTTCATCGTCAGTTTTTTATCCGGAAATGTTCATGTGTCTCGCGAGGACCTCATTGCCGGTGAGTAATTTACATTATAAGTTGTACAAATTTTATTACCGACGAAAACAATTTATGTCGCCATAAATATTTGATTGGAGGAGGAAAGTCAACACTTTGAATTTTTTCATTGCAATCAAAAAAGAGAAAAGTATCAAATATAATCGTTTCGAGTAATTTTCGAGAGGTTATTTTCCATTACCTTGAAATCGAACTGTTATAACAATACCAAATATAAGTAATATGAAAATTATCGCAAAAAAAGTGCGCATATTTTATCGTACGACGAAATTTATCGGTAATTCAGATTGTAAAATTTGCTCGAAAAGACTAATGAAAATAGCAGCAGTTTTGGGTGAACGGTATTATATTTTAACGTTGTGTTGTACATTTTCAATGTGAACTCTGAAACTTAACACAAAGTAAGACCTGTGTAAATAACATTCACGAATTCCTGTTTTAATTATGAGTTAACCAAAGAAAATCATTTGGTAGGAAAACGCATAAAAATAAAATGAATGAATGAATATTATTTCAATGTTTACTGTTAAAATATATTAGCCACGGTGTATAATAGTGTTTTGTACTTTATTTTATCAATTTGTTTTAATTACATAAGTAAAGTCGGTATTTTTATTTTATAAAATATTATATCTGACTAGTAATATTCAATTTTATGTAATAAATAAAATACTTTTAGCAATGAACATGAAAACAAATGTTAAATGTTTTACTTGTATTAAAATATGAAACAAAAATCTCTATATTGATCAAAATTGTCATTTTCAGTGAATATAAAATTCAGATTTTGTGTACATTTATGATATGAAATTATTACAATTCTTGTATATTTAATTGTTAATAGTGTTAATAAATTTCACTTATTTTATATGATATTATATTGTTCAGTTTCTCTTAATTGTGCTTGAGACGAGAAAACAAACATAGTCCAGTGCAACGGAATAAAAAATTGGCGCCGAGCACTATGTGTGTTCAGAGTCGTATCTAAGTTCTGGCTGCCTTTGATAATATATTTATTAAGTTTTTATGTTCCTACAAATATCAGCTATGTAGATTTCAATTTAAAAAAGTACTTTTTTTTTGTTTAAATAAGGTCATTTTATTCTAAAATACGCTCCTTAAGACATTTTGTCTAGTGTCATTACCTTCTTTGCCCTCCCTAAAAACACACCAATGCATGTTACGACTGAGCTTTATTACATAGTTAATGTAGGCCGCTTAATTTAAGAAATAATTTTCTTTTGAAAGTGTAAAATTATGATTATCAGTTTTAATCATATTAATAGAAAATACAATTGAAATCGGTAGAGAAATTCTAAACGTATCTAATCATACTCTCTACTAAAGTGCGCATTTGAATATTCAAAATAATATTTAGTTAATTAATTCGTTATTGGTAAAGTATTTTATATCACAAATTAAAAATTACTAAAGGTATTTTAGAAAAAGTTTAGCTCTGTAAAATAATGTCATTTATGTTAAAGTGCCAATTGGAGCTATTTTCTTTAGTCCTCTCTAAATGCGCTTTTGTTTAGGTAATATATTGTAATAAATAATACTAGGAGAAATAATATAAAAGCAAACTGAGAATGTAAAAAGTTTGTAAAAAAAATAACAGAAAATAAATTTAATTAATCATTTAATACTTATTTTATTTTTTTTATTGTATTAAATTTCATTGTATTTTTTTAAATTATAGCGAAACAGTATTTAAATTATTATATATTTAAGTTATAACTTTTATTTTTGAAAATCGAACAAATATTTTAATATTTATTAAGGTTATAAGACTTCTTATGAAAGTAATAAAAATATTCCACGTGTAATTCGTCTAATCCCTTTAACAAAATATTAGTTTTCTCCCCTTTATTACAATCTATTATTGCTTTTAAAACTACCCCATGTGTCAATTTTGAATTATTTTCAAGCTATTACATAAAAATATAAATCATAATGTGGCTAGGTTTTTATAAACACTGTAAAAAATGATCCAACAATTACCATATGTCGTTTGATATGTTTAATATATACGTTAATTTTACACACGAATGGTGTAATTTTAACATAAAATATCAATAATTTGTACACAATTATAACATTTTTATAATTATCTATCAACATTTTTCTTTACATTGTATGCGTTAAAAACTTTCAGTACATATAACTAAAAATTTAACCATTTTTTCTCAAGATTGAGTTAAATCATCATTTTTATTTATTAAAGATTGAATGAGTCCTTCAAATGGTTTATAATATTATTCAATATTTTAGTTTGTTTTTTAATTAACTAATGGTATGGAATTTATATTACTTTACCATTCAGTAATGTTGTTTATTTTATTATTTTTTTTTATTTGGCCAACATTTTATTGTTATTGATCAACGGAAAGTATTAAGTAATTCATCTTTTACGTCTAAAGCTCAATAGACTATTATTGTTTTCCAAAAAACCTTTATAATGTGACATATCACTATGTATAATTGAATTAACACGTCAAAAGAGAGGTATTTTTTTTCACGAAAAGTCTAATACAATGAAAATACGATCTAAAACATTTGTATATAACATTTATAAAGTGAAACTAGTTTATTATTTACGAAATATCATAAAAACAATATGATTAACTACCAAATGGGTTAAATAATTCGTGTTAAATGTGTTTCTGTTATTATTTTTTATATATAAATTTTTTTATTAGCTTTGAATTCTCTTTTAATGTTTTTAATATTTGCAAAGTTTTCGATACCCGGTTGGAATTAAATCTGATTTTTAACTTTACGAGGTGTGAAGTATTGTTTTTATGTTTACCAAACATTAACGACATTAATTTCAATCGTCATATTTGGGTAAAATATACTTTTTGCAGATAAAACAAAATAAAAACCCAGCTCAATGAGGACGTGACATAGTTGGGTCAATTATAATGATATCTAACAGTGATTAAAATCATTATTATAAAAAAACACTAAAGATAGTGTTTAGTTTTAAAAAATTGTTGAAAAATTCCAAAACCTATATAATCTCCTATTTCCTTATTTATATCCTGATTACATGTTTTATGATTTATAAGTGTAATATATGAATAAATATATATAAATATTTAAAGAGAAATGGTTTTATTTAAAAAAAAAGTATGTCAAATGAAAGAGGTATATAAATAATGTTTATCATAAAAAAAATTGTATTGATCCATAAATTTTTCAAAAAGTTATAGCATTATAAAATTAAAAATATAAACAAGAATTTTTTTATGTTTTATTAGTGTAATATATGAATAAATATTTAGTATAGCAATTAAATATAGTATGAAATTGATATTTAATAATTTAGTATTGTCATTTATTTACAAAAATCGTATTTTTTTTATTAATTTTGATATCCGTTTTCACCATGAAAACAAAATAAAGTCTGAAAAATTTTTTTTTCATATTAAAGTATATTACATTAGCTTTAATTTAAGATATATATATAAATGTGTCAGTGTTTCCAGAACACTTTCAAAAGTTAAGTTGAAAAAATAAATTTTTGGTGAAAAAGATGTCATTTTGAATTCCTCTCTGTAGGCAGGTAATTGGTTAAATTTATTAAAAAATATACAAATAATAACTATAAAAAAAAAATTTATTTGGATTTGGTCATTTTTAAAAATTTATGGCAGTTTTAAGTAAAAAAATTTGAAAAAATGAAAATTAGCAATTTTTAAAATTGTAATTTTTTTGGAGATTTTCCACATTTACGGGGAACGGCGGAATTTTATCAATTTTTGAGGGTAATGTCCTCGACTAGATAAGATTTGTGATATTTTGACCGTATCGTTAACAGAAAACGGTTCGGTGAGAACTGAGAAAAAGTGGTAACAGACATACACAAAAAAAAAAAACGCATCATTGTAAAATTAATAACTTTTCAGCTTCGCATCGAAGCTAAAATATACTGGGATATTGTTTAAAAGTATTTAAAACTTGGTTTGTTATATTAAAGAGCAACGCATTATTTATTTTATTAATATTTTTGCTCACATGATCACAATTTAATCAAGTAACATGTTACGTTATAAGATTAAGAGTCTGTAATTAGAATTAATAGAAAGATTTACATAGTGATTTTTTTCGTTGTTTAAAAGAAAAAAAAATTGTAATTCTACTAGACTTTTTCAACTATAATAGAGTACCAACACTAAAATCCTTTTCTATAAATTTTGTTATTGTTCTTCGCATAATAGTGACGGTATGGTGAATTTCAACAAAATATTTTCATTAATTAGAATTTTTAGGTCTTGTTACATGATATTTATATTTTTTGTAGGAATTGTATTGAGCAAATCTCATGGCATATTTATCGGCTTGACTCTGAAAATAAGTAATTTGTAGATTACTCCGATAGTTTCCTAGTTATGTTTTGAAAAATAATTCTAAGAAAATCGAACTTCCGTTTTGAAAAGGAACGAAATATTCGAATCAAAGTCGAAAAAACAATTAAAAACAAATTGGTAATTACTCGGTCGGTATTGATTTTATTACATTATCTCTCGCAAAGGAAAAGTCGTGTGGTGGTTATATATCATTGTACGAAATGAACGACAACTGGGAGGAAACGCGTTTGTGGAAACAAATGGAAAAAGAAATACGAACCTTATTATTTACGCTCGGAGGGAGATTGTTTCGCTAAAAGCTATCAACATAGTGGCAAGTTTTAACTTCATCAACTGTGTAGCATTGTGATACATTTATCGCGCTAGGTGAACAGGGACGGGGATATTGATTAAGTATTTTTCTATGAGGCATCCGTCGTTGTTGTAAAATTGAGACGTCTCGCGGACAGCCTGGCTGCTATTTCGTCAAGCTGGCAGGTTCGCAGCAAAGTTGATAGAAGTCGCCGCGGCAGAGGACAAAAGAGGAGGATCGGGTGCAATGTGTTAATAAACACCGACGACAAGTCTAGTTTACACGTTCGAGACGGGTGTGCAACCTTAACGTATTTATTACTTCAAACGCCACGA